AACTAAACACGGTTTGGAATGGAATTTTGGAGAAATTGTTGGATTTACTGGAACAATTAGGTTAGGATAAAGAAAGATCCTACCTTTCCGTCAACAAACTGTTCTACTTTATGGTGTGTTTTTAGGTTGCAATTGAAATTGTTTATTGTTTTCCGAAAACTTTTATGCAGAACATGCACTACAAAAAAATGTTACTAATTTATTATAATTAAGTTAATTTTAATTAATATTCTATTCTTTTTTTTTATTTAATTTTGATAGATTTAGTTTTTTATTTAATAAAATAAAGATATAAAATTAATTAATAAAATTTTTTATTTATCCTTAATTAAATCATTACTTAAATAGACCTTTTTATTTGTATATATTGTAATTATTTTTTAAAAATAAAGGTAAAATAAAAATAGGCATACAACATTAAAAAAAAATATATGAACAATTAAATTTAAATGCTTCAAATTAAAAATTACACCTATTAAAGTTTAATGGAGAGAATATTAATTATGTATTCTCCCCATCCTAAATAATTGTTAATTCAAAATTTATCCGAAATTAATATCCTTTTATCATTTTTTAAGGAGGATAAATTTTTTTTATTATTGTTATCTCTTATTTTTAATTATTTATCATTATTACCAAAATTTTTACTTTTATTTTTATCTTATAAGTAAATATAAATTATTTTTAAATTTTTATTTAGTAAAAAAATAAAAAAAATAATTACTATTTTAAAATAAAGAGAATAAATGAACATGTTTGAAAAATAATTATGAAACAGTAACGTACGTTTTGATAAGAGCACAACACAGGAACAAACGCAGCCGCAACAGCCACTAAACAACAGTCTCAAACTACCCATGGTGCACCTCCCATCTACTTCTTTCAGTCATGGCCAATTCATTACTAAAGTTTTCTTGACACAAGAATAATTTTTTCGTTGTACAGTTACAGATAATTACTACTAAAAGTTAAATAAGAACTCTCTGTCTGGGATATGATATCCTCGGCACTAACAATCATGTGCACATTTCTATCTGCATGCAATAATCATCTAGCTTCCATAACTGGAATTGGAACATGATTTATGGAACAATTTTTTAACTTGAGTTCAGGAACGCTTGCTTCGTTCACAACTGCTGTGGTGCTGAAAAATGCTGGTTGTTTCGGTTCTAGCAATGACATATATGGTCTTGTTTGAAAGCATTGAAACATCAGGCATGTTAGGTCTATCTACAGCATGGTCTTGTACGCATAAGAGGCCAATATGGATGCATCTCAAAATTTGATTATGCGAACGATTTCATCCAAAGTGGGATCCACTAACTCTAAACCTCTCCCATCCTTCCAAGGCTGCCATGCCTGAAGAAAAACAGGGAATATTGCTTTTACAAATCATAAGGTAAAATAATATAATCATTCAAAAAGTGAATAATGATGCAGGAGAAGT